GGTCCTGAGACTATCCCCCACCAAAGCTGATGCCCTAGCACTGTTCCCAGACCCAGGAACTGATAAGATAGGTTTTAATACTTCTGAGTCACAGTGTGGCCCACCCTAACTTTATCCACTGCTCCTAGTTTTGAGTATCACAAAAGTCCACACACCAGACACAAGCGAGATGCTCTATAAACACTATCCCTTTCGGCTCTTTGGAACAACCCTATGAGAAAAGGAGTGTGTCTATTTCAAAGATGAAGGAAGTGAGTCATGAGAAGTTGGGGATGTCGCTAAGGACTCACAGTCACGAAGTGGAGAGGAGGGAATGAAGAGAGGCAGCATGATGTGCTATTTAGGAACATGGACTCCAATGCAGCTGCCTGAGCCTGAATCCCAGTTCTACCACTCCCGAGCTTTGTGACCTTAGGAAAGTTGCTCAGCCTCTCTGAACCTACTTTATGAGATTTTTTTTTTTTAATGAGGATTAAATGAGCTTTTATGTGCAAAGGGACTTCCCTTGTGGATCAGCTGGTAAAGAATCTGCCTGCAATGCGGGAGACCTGGGTTCCATCCCTAGATTGGCAAGATCCCCTGGAGAAGGGAAAGGCTACCCACTCCAGTATTCTGTCCAGGAGAATTCCATGGACTGTATAGTCCACAGGGTTGCAAAGAGTCGGACACAACTGAGTGACTTTCACTTCATATGTGTAAAACATTTGCAACAGTGCCTGGTACTTAGCACCATAGAAGTATTTGTCAAATACAGAAAAGGATGGCAGAATTCTCAATCAAACCCAGGTTTATCTGGTTCCAATGTGTACACTCAACCAAGACTCTTCAGCATGTTGATCTCTCAAGGGCTGGAGGTAGGACTAACTACATGCCTGAAGTTTTTCTCTTCTCTATATCCTCTTCTGTCCTCCATGGCCCCTAATAGTACCTGGTTGCCAGAATTCTTTTCATCCTTCTGGCTTTTGACCTAACTGAAAGAATGAAATGCAAAATGGCTTCCATACGTCAGGAGATGTTCCCAGATCTGAGCAAGGTTTTTCTTCTAACGCAGTACTTTCTCAGCATCATCTGGGATCTCATCAAAACATGGCCTCCCCAGCTCCAGTGCAGAGCAGCTGAATCAGAAACCCTAGAGATGGTCCCCGCAGTCTTATGTCAATAAGCCCTCCAGGTGATAAGGTGTTTTCACGGGATTTGGGACCACGGTAGAAGGTGAGACATCACGCTGCTTGTCAGCTCACACTAAACTGACAGTGGGTGGTCTCCTGGAATTTGGGCCTCCAACCTGTATTTCATGTAGTGTCTCTGGAGCCACTCTTCCAGCCCCTCAAGATCTCTCTGAATCCACACTCTGGGGTGGGGCTTCCTGGTTCTCCCCTCTAGCTCTGTGACCTCTGAACATCTGATGAGCATGCCATTCGTATCTCCAGGGTGTCACCCACAGCATCCACCCAGAGCTGGGGCAGAAGACCTCCTCCTCTGGCCTGACATTAATCCATGAGAACATCAGTTCATATGGTTATTCAACTTGTGAAATTTCCTATTATCAACCTGCGTATCTCCACTTTGCCCAACAGGAAACCATGAGAGACTAGCTTTGCTTTAAAACCCTGAATAAAAGCTTTACAAAAAGTTCCTGATGAACAGAGCAGCTTTTGATAGGCATCTTAAGTTTAATTTTTTCTACTCCTTCTTCTCCCCCAACAAGGATTGGCCTGGAAGCAGGCACATCTCAAAGCTTTCATATTAAATGTAAAGCTCTGCTTTTCCTTTCATTTTACACTAAGGACTTCTTTTCCAGATATTTCTACTCTACCACAGTCCTACACGGCAGGCTTTCTTTTTTTTTTTTTTAACATTTTTATAGAATTGGAAGTTAATCAGTTTCTCCTAATGCCATATCAGCTAGCTTAGTGGGGACACTCATATTTATATTCAGGTCTGTCCAAGGCTCATATCATACCTGCTATGTTACATTAACACTACTGTGGCTGAAAATGGCACGGAGTTTCAAAGAGATGTTCATTATGATTTTTGAGACCCTCTTAACCCACCCTTTGTTCTAGAGAATATTAAATTCAATTATTGACGGTCAAAATAACACATATCACAGCTGCCAGGAAGGTAACATCTTAAAACACCCACAGGGCTTCTACAAGAATCCTCTAAGGTATGAACACATGTGCACGTATGCACGCTCGGTCACTTCAGCCGCGTCTGACTCTTTGCCACCCTATGGACCATATCCCACCAGGCTCCTCTGTCCACGGGATTCTCCAGGCAAGAATAGTGGAGCGGGTTGCCATGCCGTCCTCCAAGGAATCTTCCCTACCCAGGAATCGAACCTACATCTCCTGCATTGCAGGTGGATTCTTTACTGCTGAGCCATGAGAAAAGCCCTGTGAAGACATGTCTAGCCACAGGTCATTTCATGCTGAAGAATACCAGCCCCTACAAAGGAAAGGCAGCTGGGCAGGGGGCTGGGACACAAAGCCAGCTGTCTCCTACTGCCCTCTCTGCCAGTCTTCACAAAGTCAAGTCCTGGACTTGTTGAAGAAAATGATTCATCTCTCTCTGCAAAGAATGCCAACACCACATGTACAAAAGATTTCTTTCTTTACATCAGTTCCTGAGTACGTTATAATCACTTCATGTAATGTAAGCAATTATGACCTTCCAGGTTTGGTAGACTTGGAAGTTTCGTAGGTGAGTAATAATGGAAGGAAAAGACTATTCAGGTTTTCTCACAGAGAGATTCCAATGAGTCCAATGAAACTAATTAACAAAGACTCAGTTTTACTTGATGGAATAAGAAACACACCCTCTGTTGACCTTCCAACTTCAGTTTTGTGCTGTTGGGCCCAAGTCTCAAACTTTCCATCCTCCGAGCTTGGTAGACCCGGCAGAAGCTTACTGTGATCGCCCACCCGCTTTATCTTCTCATGTACAATCATTTTCCTTCCTGTTCTCCATGTTAAGGGGCTGGCCAAATCCTTCTGAGAGGATGATATTATAATTGAGAACGTAAGTAGACCATGAAGTTCAAATGACAAATTACATACACACATTTTTGCCATTCTAAAATATAATAGAAAATACTGTCTTCAATTCTGAGAGCCTAGCATGTTCTCAGAAGAGTTCCAACAAATTTTGGTATTTCAGTTTTAAAGTAGTGTTAATAATATATTTATATATTTGAGTGTCAAGACTCAGAAAACCAGAGAGACAATTAAAAAATTACAAAGTTCACTGCATGCTTCGTTTTGTGATATCACAATAAACTTGCCAATATGGAAACACTCTTACCTAGTCTCCCTGACTTACAAGTAAGTTTTCTGATTTACCATTGACTAGAAAATGAACAAGTCTTCAAAACAAGTACAGTCTCCGTGGAAGGGAGACTAAAGCCCAAGGCAACACAATGGGACAATGTTTTGCAGATTTAATCCTCCTTAGGTATGGGCACAGGATAAAAAAATACCTGATACTCGGGCCATTACTCCTAATCATTAGCCCACAACAGATATTACTGTTGTGATTAATCAATCACAACACTACTGCCAAGCTCAAACACGTCAGCCACCAAAACCTATTTGAATTGGCACAGAACTATTTGACTTTCACTCTGGGGCAGATCTACTAGAACTGGAGGATTAATGGTTGCTCTTATAGTTAGGGTTTCTTATGTGAAAAAGAGAAGGCTACAGTAATTCAAATACATCCAGCAAAAATTCTCTGATACTTCACAGGTACAGTGAGGGGATCAAAGCCTCAGACACTTACAGATGGGCATGGCTGATTCAACAGTGTGGATCTGTATCAGGCCAGGGCGTGCTGAAACCTTTACCTTTCTTACTAATTTGAAAATGGTATATATGAAACCTGTCTAAAATGCTATGGATAGAAGAATGACTTAATACAATGAACTGTGCTTTTCAACTGAAAAAAAAACACAACATCTATGATAAATCATACAGGAAAACCATGACACTAATATGTGGTTTTCTACAGCTAATGTTCTAAAAACAAAATGTTCTTTTGGCATGGACCTCAAAATTTGTCATGTTCTCATTAGTCTTGAGGGCAACAGTGCTACTTTATACAATTCTAACCATCAAGCAACAAGGAGAGCCTGAAATATCAGATTTCTTTCCAAACAAGCAAAAAATTGCAAACAATACATTATGACAAATATGAATATCTTCAAGTTCATATTATTCAAATTCATGTTTTATTTTTTTAAGTAAAAATACAATATATGGAAAAACGTCAAACCACAGTGTTGAGGAATTGCAATTTATTCCATTCAGAAATAAAATGTAAGAGACTTTTATAAAGTGCTACCATTTATGATATCTGTAATATCATTTCTCATATTGGTTTCCAATGATATACATTTAAGATATATTCAACATATGCTCAAAATACATATGCTCATATATACTCAAATTATATAATTTGAACATATATATATTCTCAAAGAGCTGTGCACTAGTAAAAAAGTTTTGGAACAAAGAAACAGGATAGTTTTTAAAAATGAGCAAAACCACCTACTTTAACCCCAACACCCAGTTAGAGAAGGAGCACTAATTTTCTCACCTTTTACAGCACGTAAAATTATTTTTTAAAACTTCCACCCAAACACAGCATTCTTAAAGAAAATGGACATCATCATTTTTTGTTTTCAATTTTAATAAAGAAGGTGCCTATGGAGCTGACAGACTTATTACAGAAGAAAATGAAGAGACACCTTCAATGGCTCCTTCAAAGCGAATTTAAAATCCTGCTTCATGGAATGATGTTTTGGTGGCTCCGTGGAGTTCTTCTAAGGCACCACTGGGGTACGTAATCTTTGCAGCAAAGTCAGAGGCCCCGCGGCTGAGGAAGAAGGTGGGAATGGGCCTGGAAGGATGCAGGGGAGGTTCAGGATCGGCCCCGCAGGCCCCTCTGGGGCTCAGGGCCTGGCAGAAGCCCTGAGTCTGGGAGATGAAGGCGGGGAGATGAAGCGGGCCCTGCGAGCGTGGCCCACCCTGCCCCGAGCACCCCCCTTCACAGAGCTGGCCTGGCCCAGGACAGGCCTCCCCACACGTGCTGAGTCCCGACTCTCAAGGTCTCTGCGCCGCAGCCTCACACCGACTGGTGCGCCCAGAGTGACAAGCTTGTCTTTCTCCTCCTAGGGGCTTTAACATCTTCAGGGGGATTAATGCTACACAACTCACACAAGAAAGCTCCGGAAAGCTTCATTATCTCCCTCTCTTGGACACTCATGGAGCTTTGCGGCTTTTGCAAAGTAGATTTCCCGTCCCCCGCACCCCCAATCTACTGTATATTTATATGGTAGCAATAAACAATCTGAAAATGAAATTAAGAAAACAATTCTATGAACAATAAGATTTTCAACTTGAATTTTTTTTTTCAGTCTCTCGAATGGAAACTGGCAAATGCCTGAAACAATAAAGTAAAAATTAACTTCTCAAATTCTGTGTAGCTAAATGAGTGTTGAAGAGATGGAAATGATTAAACTTCCAGACCATTTTTTGAAAGTGTGTAGCATTCACACTTCTGAAGATGCTGACATTTAACACAGCACTGCCACTTTTGAGACACCCTGTACCTCTCATAACCTGGGGGGTTCCTTTGGAGTTCTAAATTATTCCCTTCCAGTTAAGGGATGTCCTTGCATCACTCTACAGCTGTCTTTTCTTGATTTAAAGCGAGCTTGTCTTTGGTTTCTTTTTCAAGATTTTGTATTATTCTCTGATAGAGCATTGTTTTTTGGACTTGAGTGTGAAATGTAAATACTATTGTCATGGACATCCAACTGAGATCACTTTACCATTCCTATCTCATTTAGGGAATGTAATCTCACTATCTCTGGGGAAGAGTCAAGAGACCACATTTCATCAGACGCATATGTTAGATTTTAGTTTTTACAACACTGATCTACATATATAAAGTGATACATTCATTTTAGGAGGGTTTATTTGTTTGATTCACCTATCAGAACATACATATAAAGGTGGGGCGTGTGTCTGTATTTTTTTTAAATGAAATAGATGTTATGAAGACTGTGGCTTCCTCTAAGGCCTTCTCTTCTAGTCTGTTTTACTTACAACTTTTGTTGCTTGTGACTCATTATGTGGATTCACAGCCCACTAACGTGTTGATTATCAAGTCTGAAAAACAACAGACTAGGTATAATGAGTTAGTCAATACCTACCAGGGTTACCCTGTAACTCTTTTCTATGCTTGCACCCATGTTTTTTCATAGACAAGATGCAGGTAGAACAAAAGTTCCTCTCCCACTGCAGTGAGCCCCCCGGGGCCTTGCTGAAATGCAGCGTCTGCTTGGGCAGGGCTGGGGTGCGTGATTCTGCCTTTGTACTTGTGAAGGTATGGCTGGACCAGTCTGGGGGTAGCAGGCTAAGAAGAGGGGGTGCAGAGGAGCCCGATGGTGTGCAACACCTCCCCACCACCGCACAGCCCTGCTGCCTCCAAGAGGGAAGGGGGGGGAGCTACATTCACTGCACGGGAAGACCCCTTACACTTCCAGCATCTTCTCCTCTGTGATCTGGACTCTTCTGTCCTTCCTCCAGAATCAACCTCAGCCAAAACGAACAGGGACAAGGCCACTCTTTTGGTGACTGCTGGGAAGCCCTCTGGATGGGGTCACCCCAAATTGCGGACAACTACTTTGTCTGTCTCAACAAAGCGGGGCAGCAAAGATGACACTGGCCAATAAGAGTGTGACTTCCTGACCTTTCATTTCAGGCACTTGTTAAACTGTGTAACCTGCTCATCAAGGTGGACACACTCATACTTCTGAATGTGACAGCAGGAAATCCTGGCATTCAAAGCAAGCCTTCATAATTCTAAGCCATGGAGTTAGAATCCCCACACTAGGAAACACTGATGGTCACTGGCTTTCTGCACTTCCAGCCTCCAGAATTCGGAGGATATGTGCATTGATAAGATGAAAACAGTCTTAATTTTGGTGAGGCTGTCTTTTGTGGAACCATTTTGTGCACCTGTCTGGAAGGGCAAGGGAGTGGGCTCACCCACTACACCCAAGCATGTACCTGGGCACATACACATTTGATTAAAAACATGAACGTATGAGCATGATTTTTTTAAATGCGACATCTTACTTTATTAGTGGAGTTTTCATTACAGCATTTGCTTTATTGAATAGAGCAGGGTGCTTTAATAAGAGGGAGGCAGAAATGAAGAATGGCATCTTCCAAATCACACATGTTCACGATGCGGAAGGGGAGAAGGGAGGGGAAGGGAGGCAAAAGAGACAGACAGACAGACAGACAAACAGGGCAGGGCAGCGATCCCTGGCCCCTAGGGGATGGGGCGGCAGGCAAAAGAGGCAGCTGACTGCGGGTGCCTCTTCCCACTTCCGTGAGGAGCAGCATCTTAATGAAGGGTAACGATAATCAACACGGAGTTTGGGGGAGATGGGGGGTGAGGGTTGGAACTGAGGTCTAAGGCAGTGGTTTTCAAGGGGGGTGGGCAATTATGCCTCCCAGGGGACAACTGGCATTCAGGATCTGGAGACATTTTTCACCATCACCACTCAGGAGTGGAGTGATGAGGGCCTCCGCGGGTAGAGGGTAGGGAGGCTGCCCAACATCCTACAAAGCTCAGGGCAGCCCCTACAGCAAAGAACTGGCGGCCCCCAGATGTCTGCAGTGAACACGTTGAGACCATGACCCAGGGGTACAAAAGTAAGCCTGACAGGAGCCAGAGGAGAAGCTACTAGGAAAGAGAAGGCACTTGCAGGCGCACTGGGCTATTTCAGGCAGTGGGGCGGGAGAGAAGGGAGTCAGCGCGGAGGCAGGTGAGCTCAAGAAAGGGGCTCCCGCGTCGACTGCCCCCCCCTTCCACTGGATCCCAACCAATCGCCAGGGGGCTCAGTTCCGATGCTCCCACTAAAGGCAGTCGACGCCTCTTCCCAAGCGCAGGCTGGAGAGAAGCCAGCCATCCTGGCCCGGGGCGGGGGGGGGGGGGGGGGGGGGGGAGGCGGGGCGGAGAACGCGTGCCCCAGGCGGCTGCGCAGGGTGACGCGCCTCGCGAGAAAGGCTCACCGGCGGCAGGTGCTGACTCCGCCCCGGGAGCGCGAGTCAGCGCCCGTTGGCTCGGCTTCCAACTGCCAGAAACTGCATTCCTTTGCCTCGAGGGCTGCTCTTGGCTGCCCAAGTGGCAGTCCTGAAACGCCAGGAAATCAACTGCCTCTGCGGGCAGTCCCGCACCAGTGCCTGGCAGGCCTGGGTGAATAAGGCCCGGCCCCCGGGCCTCTGGGTTGGGTAACCGGGAGGCCGGCTTCACATTGTCCCCCAGGCTTCTGCATTGTGCCCAGGGTGGTGTCTTGTTTGGTGACACCCCCTCACTGGCGGCTATTCGTGTCCTGACCCCCTTTCCTAACTCTCATAAGGGTGCTTTCTTCACCGTCCCCCTAAAACAAGCTGCATTTCAATTCTCATCTCAGGGTCTGCTTCTGGGGAACCCAAACTCTTAATGGCAAGTCTTTTGAAGGGACACTGAGGTGTCAGTGACTTGATCCTCAGGCTCCTCGGATGTGGGAAATCTCTGGGTTCTCAGTCACCCTCTCTCAGAGGGTCCGACCTTCCCACCCCCAGATCCTGAGAACAGAATCCTGGGATCCGCTGAGCTGCAGGCTCTAGACCTACTCCTTTCAGACCATCAGAAACGCGGCTCGTGCCAAGTACATTCCAGTGTCTCCCACATCGTTAGCGCGAGGCTGGCAAGGAACCCAAGCACAATTCCTATGAGTCTCAAGTGCCCCTGAAGTCAAACCTCTGCAAGAACTTAAATAAGTAACACTTGACTCTGGGAGGGAGGTGTTACTCTAGTGCCGGGAACAGGCAAAGCTGGAAACACGGGCGGCTGCAGTTCAAATGAACTTGGATGGATTACCAGCGGGACTGAAAACCACGGAGCAGCAACACGGAACAGCCATTTCAAACCCGAGCGAGGCAAAGGAGAGACGTGAACTGTAAACCCCCTCTGGGCGATGTTCAATCACTCATCTTCCCTGCAGTGGGCATCCCGAGATGCTAAGAAAGCTCAAGAAAATGCTCGGAGTTTGAGGGACGTGATGGCGGCAGTGTATCAACGGGCTCCCCACACCAGCAACAGGCCGTAGTCAACGATGCACCCGACGCCTTCCAAGGACTCCAACCCTGCGGGGGCCCGAGCCCTTCCCTGAGGGGGCCCCACGGTCACCGAGGACGGGCGTGCAGCTCAGGGTCTGTCCACAGGAAGCCATTCTTAAGGATGACTCTTGACGAGTCCTCTGAAGCCACTCTTCTCTGATTGTGGGTGTCGACTGCGTTTCATCTTTGCTGAGAACATCCACTTTGGGGCCCTGATTTCTTGCCAGCATAGGTGAGGGGGACGGGAAGATCTTCCATCTCAGTTCTTAGCTGTGTAGAGTTTTTTTTTTCTCTCCTCCTCTCTCTTTTCTTTAAAAAAGGGAAAAGAACAGCAGAGCTTTTCTGCCGGGCAATCTATTCCCTTATTTATAATGCAGGACAGCAGCGCCTTGTAAGTGTATATTCTGGTTCATCTGAGGACACACGGTTGTTCATTTTAAAATTAGATTCATCCTAATTATACAGAAACAGCCTGCATGTGGTTGGTCAAAACAGCAGGGCAGCATTACTCAGCACCTACCTTCTGAGCCTGCCATCCAGACTCCACTAAACTTGTTTAGCACACAGCCCCTGCCCTCTTAGAACTTCAAATCCAGCAGAGAAATAGCCACCTCATCGACCAGTGTGAGGTCTGGGCACTGAACAGCGAAGAAATCCATACAGTAAGAGACTTAACATGTACTATTACCTTTGGACAAAGGGTTGAAGGAAGCTGTCACTGAAGCGGTATGTTTCAGAAAGGCAACAGCAGAGATCATTTGGATCACAAGCCTAATGAAGCAGGGCAGGCCTGGAGAGCTCCCTGAATGAAGGATGTTTGAAAGCTGGGTTGAAACAGAAGCAGTAAAAAATATATACTAGACTGTAAGGAACAGAGGGCTTCCCTGGTGGCGACCTACAGTGCAGCAGACCCAAGTTCCATTCCTGGGTTGGGAAGATCCTCTGGAGAAGGAAATGGCAACCCACTCCAGTATTCTTGCCTGGAAAATCCCACAGACAGAGGAGCCTGACAGGCTACAGTCTGTGGGGTTGCAAAGAGGTGGACATGATTTGCACACACAAACAAGAGACAGAAGTTTGACTGTGGACAGCAGAAAAGCATCAGAGCAAGAAGCAAGAGTAGATGCTATGAAAAAAAAAAAAAAAAGTCAGTAAGGTAGTCAGCTTCAGCATCACACTCAGTCCAAGTGGGAGAATCAACTTTGTGTTCAAGAGGCTGGAGCCCTGGGAAGGTAACTGAGCATCTATTATTTTTATTTTATGCAAACCCTGAGGGTTCCCTGAATTCAATGACTGACCAAGAAAATATCTCTTGAGGCTGAAAAATGCCAGGACATCTCTAAAATGTGGAGAAGAAAATGGCAACCCACTCCAGTATTCTTGCCTGGAAAATCCCATGGATGAAGCAACCTGGTTGGCTAAAGTCCATGGGGTCGCAAAGAATTGGACATGACTGAGTGACGAACACTTTCACTATAAAAAGGAGAGTGTTACCAGTAAATAAATCCTAATGATTTAAAAACTGAAAAAAGAACAACTAATAATACAAAATGATCAAGGAAATTTGATTTCCTGCCTTTGGAACAATCAGGCTCCATATTTCTAAGGTGCAGGTTGACGTAACACAATCAATTTTACGACTTCTGAAATAATAAGATAACGATAAGACTGTTTCCCCATGTACCGCGCCCTCCCAGGCACTGTGGACTGGCAACACAGTTCATAACCACGATCTCATTTAGCGTTCTCAACAAGGCTGTGAAGTAAGTATCAATACTATTTTTATTGTACAGATGGGGTGACTGGAGTTCAAAGTGGTTAAGTAACTTGTCAGAGAGACTGCAAGCTAGAAGGTGGCAAAGCTGGGCATCCAACTCAACACCTGAGTGATGCCACCCCTCCACTCATAACTCTGGATCTCCCTCCAGCATCCCAGCTCTCAACCAGGCCAGGAGCCCGGACCCCCGTTTCCACCCTCCCTGCAATTCACACTTTGTCTCTAAGAGAAGGGGGATGTCTGTCCTACCTGCTCTGTGACAGGACTTTAAAATAAGACATTACTGGTGCCCACACTGCAGGCGACCCTTTACCCCAGGGATCCTGGTGAGGGGCAGTAACCAGTGGGGGATGACTGAGAGAAGTAGTTCTTTTTTATGACGGGATAGAAAGAATTAGCTGGATTCAAAAAGACACATGCACCCCAAAAGCAGC